CAAGCACAGAAATAAAGCAAAATGCAGTTAAAGGAATTGTTAATGCTCCACTTTTCTCTCTCAGCAGCTACCTCGCAGCGAGCGCCGCAGCTCTGCAAAGGGATTTGCTTTCCCCCCCCAGCTGTCTAAAATGCGCAGCAAGAAGAGGGGAAAGAAACCGCTTTCGCAGCCACTGCAAGCAGAGCAGGGTTTTAAATACCTTCCTCGCAGAGCCCTCTGCCGAGCCCCAGCGCAGGTGAGAACTGGCTGTGTGTGTATGTCGAAACCACCAGCTCAGGCTGAGAGTTCACCTTCTGTCCCCTCTTCCTCAGCGCTAAGTCCGGCCAAAGTTTCACCTTATTAAAACATAATTCTGCATAGGAAGGCGTTTGCTTGAGAAAACTAAGCTCAGCCCGCACCGCGGATCAGCTTTACCTGCCACAGCCACAGCAGGTCTTAATTTAGGGCTCACCTGGGGCAGCTATTCACAGACCTACGGCAGAGGCAACGGAGAAGTACGACGCCTCGGAGAAGTGTTTCTAACCTCATTTCTGAGGGATGCAGCTGAAACGTGGACCTTTTAAAGGGCTAACAGGCCCCGCTAGCAGTGCTACTTCCTAACCAAGGCAAGACACGCAGGAGTCTCAAAAAAGCGAAGAAGCTCTTTGAAGAGCCAAGAACGAGCAACACGCCTGGCTTCAATCAGTCCTTGTCCTATTTCAGGTGCCAAGGCGCAGAAGCGGTCCCTGCTCCCTTACCCTGGCCGCAGACTTTTGCACGCGCGCAGGAGGCGCCGAGTTGTCCTCGGATCAGCAGGTCCGTGCTAAGCACGCTGCGATTTGCACTTCCGCTTTTCAGCGCAGACGATCAGGATAACTCCCCCCTGTATTTCTGGGTTGCTCTGAAAACCAGTTTCTACAACAGCCCTGGAAAACACAGGCTGGTGCTGCTCCCTCTGCACCCAGCAGCCCCACAACAAGGGGCACAAGCGGCGCTTTTGGCTCGAAACTGGTGCTTGAAACATTCCTCCCATATGGACTTAAAGGCTGGATTCACCTCAGCTCCCTTTAGTCGTCCGCAGCGGGACATCTCTTGCAGGTAAGTAATTCAAGTTGCCCCGTCGGTGGCCTGGGGAGACCCCGGCGGCGCCTGGCTCTCCCCTGCCCCACGGCCGGGCTGCAAACTCGACGGGCTCCGCCTGCACCGCGCGTGGGGAAAACCGGATGCTGAAGGGGTGATGCACCGCACGGCGCCGCGGGACCTCCGACTGCTCCCGACGCCGACCACGGTTTAACAGGATGCCGCGCTCTTCGAGCAGGCACACACCAAGTTGGATGATAAAAATTCTGCCCGTGGGTTGCTACTGAAGGTACTGGCTTTTCCTAAAACACCGCAGAAAGCCAAGTATGTCACCTCATTAGTTTCCTCTGTGTTTGTTGATTTTTCAAGAGAATTAGGAAATCATACCCTTTCCGCATTACGCCCATCCACGTTTCAACAGGTAAAAAGATACCCCTCTGTTGCCACCCCAACACAAAGTTCAGCGCTGGTGTGCACTACCCAGTAGCCGCTTGAATCATGGCAGAAAAA